CTATGCCATGTAACAGCTTTAAAACCCATTATAATGGGGATGGCATAGAACGCCCCAACGGTGTTAAGGGTTTAACCATATTTTTATATATAGTATTATGTTGTTTGGCATTAAGGAATGCCTCTTTAAGATAGCACCCATATATATTATGTGAACTACAGCCTTTTTCCAATTAAAGTTGTTTAGCTACATATTTTTAAAATAAAAAATTTTTATTGGGGAAAATAAATTGCAAAAATCAGATCATTCAGTAACATTAAGTATCAGTTGTATCGTGTTCGCAGGCATGGTCTCATTCCTTATTTAGTATAGACCACTGATGGTAATAAACAATGATGTAGAAATTAAGCATTCAACGAACAGCAGTTTACGAGGGTACATAACTCCATTGGTGGTGGCATCCTTCTTCTATGTTCTTTGTACTTCCAAGTAGTCTTAGGGGCATCCCTGCAGGAAGGTAACATCCCCCATTACTCCCCCTCCCCCTTTCTGTCTCCCAATGCCATGTCCGTTTTTCCTATTGTTGCTTTGTTTGAGTTTACAAAAAAGTACTTGGAACCATTGTGTATGCTTCAAATATTCTTAATGTCTGTAAAGATCCACTATTAGCAATAAACTAACTAAATACTTAGTCAAGCACAAGTCTGTTGTGTACGAGTCTAGAACCAAGTCTGAATTTATTTTTTTTGGTTTTAATTCTTTATTTTGGTTGTGCACAGAGAAATACATTAGTATAAGAGACATATCCATTTCAATAAAGATATTGCATCTCATCAAGACATAGCTAACAAACACTTTTTATATTTTTCAAGTGTGTGAACTTACGAGACATGTGGAAAATAAAATCAAACTGCTTAAAATAAGTATTGTACACATTTGTCAAATCCTAAGCTGAGAACAAATAGTCTACTGTGAACAAGTTATACTAGGTTACTGGGAATGTTTGTTACAAGGTAAGATGATTCAAGTGTTCTATAATAGATTGCGTATATATATGTTAAAGATAATGGATTCATGAAGATAATCAAGTAGGTAATGCTTTGAAAAACCTTTAGTAGCAGGTGCGGTACTGCCAAGAAGGTCTGAGGCTACTTAACAAGAGAAATTAAGCTATCCCCCCCTGCTGCCCCTTTGGTTAGGGGTATTTTTTATTGCAGTACTCAGAATATTCTGGTCCAGTGTAGCCAATACTGCAATTAAATAAATAAAAAGGGGCAGCGGGGGGATAGCGTAATTTCTCTTGTTAACCCTCTTGGAGCATGTATGAAATTAACCATACTATAGGGTTGGACCCTCTTGGAGCATGTATGAAATTAACCATACAATAGGGTTGCCTACAACAGTTTAGATGTGTAACCAATTAAAACCGCAAAAGACAATCTACTAAAGAGAAAATGAAATTTATGAAAACAAACTGTTAGTAGCCGTGCGGTTCTCAGCTTAACAAGAGTAGTCTTTTCTTCACTGACTTCAGTTATGGAACCGAGGAAGGCTCCATTACGGCTCTTGGAACAAATGACACAACAGTTGCAGGGTCTCAAAACTGGATAGTGGTCTGTAGAGATGTGGTAGAGTTAATTTCCGTGAGACCCAACTTTGAGAGAAGTGCATGCGCTTCAGCCCCTAAGGTGATTTCACGTACAGTTCAATTGTGGGTAATTATGAGGAATCTTGGTATCTCCACACCTATAGACTACCCATGTGGAACTCATTCGGCTTGTAAATAGGCTTAGAGGTTTGCATAATTAGAGTATGGCCCTTGTCAGGTCATGATAAAAGGACAGTTGCAAGTCCTCAAACTGCATGTGACTTACACAGCCTTCCTAAACACTTCATGTAAAAAGTCATCTAATGTTTACACTTCCTTTATTGCAAATTTTGTTTAATTTAGAGGTTGTTATTTTCTGCTCTGCTAATAGCTTGCTAGGCCTTGCAGAAGCCACTGTATGTAATTAAGGTTTAATTTATAGAGCAGGAAATAAAACAAACTTTTAAAGTAAGTAACATCTGATTAATAATGAAACCATTTTATTTTCATGTAGGTTGTGTCCGTCACAGCCAGGGGAGGTGTGGCTAGGGCTGTATAATTAAAAACAAAAGTGATTTAAGTCCTAAACAGATTTGGATTGAGCAGTGTAATTTCAGAGGAGTAATCTATACACAAAAAATGCTTTATTAAGCTAAAGTTGTTTTGGTGACTATAATGCCCCTTTAATATATAAACTGCCCATCTCTACAGGCTGTATGAATTGGTCAGCAAAAATGGCAAGAGGTTGGAGGCCAGTCTGCTATGTGTGTGGAGTAGCAAGTACTGAAATGCTTAATGTGTAAAGTGTGTCCTTTTTTAAAGGTGCAGATTTCAATATAAATTGGCACGTTTGTTTTAACCTTGTTACACACCCTTGGCTGTCAGTTTACCTGCCTCTTGAGTTTAGTTCCACTCAGCTAATTGTCCAGTTGCAAAGATTGCCTTGCAAAGATTTATCATAGAGTTGTACTGGAAGGTATGTGATTTGACAGCCACAGAAAGTCTGGTCTGTGAAGGAAAGGGGGATTTGCAAATGCTGCAAACGAGATATGCTTCTTTTGCAAGCTGTTTTTAGATATACCCCAATTTAAAAATATATATATATTTATTTTAATTTGGGAGGGTGATATCTAGTGAGGTTTTTTTTTTCCTTTGGTGGTGGGCCTTTTTTAACTGTTTATCTTAGCCATTGTTTAATTTTTCTTAGACAATATATTCTTATAATCAGTTTGCTGTAATTGAGTGGCTAGTTGGATACAGTAATTGACGCATAATTTGCTAATACTGTTTGCGGCACCACCTGCACTCACCCATTCTCTATTTATAATGGTTAAGGAAATATTGGAAGTTCTGTACAGTTTTTCTTTTACTCTTCTAGTGAAAACACAAAACTTAGAAAAAACATTTATTTAATATTATGTTTTTCATACAAATCAAATGATCTTCTAAAGGGTGCCAATATCGCACTCTGATTTAGGCAGGTTAAAAAAAAACTCTGATCGTTTTTTAGATCACAGCATGTGAATGCAGGATCATGTAAAGAGTGTTAGTAGTGTATTTTGCTCTTACTTTTGGTTGGCCAGAGTCATTTAAATCATGTGTAAAATAATAATGCTTTTAATGTATTTTATATTCTTTGTTTGTAGGGAGGAAATGACTACGAAATCTACACTGATGCAAGAACAATTGGATATTCTGTCACATCTCCCAGTGACACAATGAGACTCTGTAAAGAATTATTTTTTCAATAAACATTCATTCTTTAGTGTTTGGTGTTTATGTTGAAATGAGCTGTTGTATACATTTAAACAAATTTTACATATTTTAAGTCTCTAAGACATTTATTTTTGTGTGTGGGGGGGGTTTATAGTGTATGCGTTTAGAGCTATAAATTAAAAGAACGCGCCATTAAAAAAAATATATACAGCTTTAACATTTGAAGTGTTCCTTTAACCTTGTAATTACCAGGTGCCCCCCAATACCTTAAAAATTGTAAGGTAGCTTACCTTTGGCAATGGGCCAACAGGGAAGATTAAAAGTTAAAAAATACAGGAAAGGGCTGCGCTCGGATAAAACTCTGAATAATACGAAAAGTCCAGATAAAATAAATGGATACAAGGAGAAAGTCTTATCTGACAATGTGCGTTGGAATCATATTATATGATGATACTTGGTCCAGAACAGTAATCTTTAGTAATATCTTCCTTGTAGATCGTCTCATGCAAAAGATAAAAGCAGATACAGAACCAAATAGTGTAGTATATTTTGGAAATGAGGGAAGTAGAAATTTAAATCTTGATTGCAAACTCACATTTAGGAGAGCTAGAACCCGCTCTGGTATAAAGGGCGTACAGCGGTTTGATCCCCGCTTGTAGGATATGGGATAACTTTCCTTCGTGTACTTCCTCCTTCCGTAATATGAAAGACACTTGGATAAAAAGAGACAGCCAATAGTGTTCTCTGAATAAAAGCTCTAAATAAAATATATGTAATAAAAGTGGGTACTCACAAGATAGGAGCAGATCAACTGCTCCTAGTAATTAGCGTTGGTGGTATGATCCCCACCTCGGATTGCTTGGAGTCCAGTAGGATAAACGAATAAAAATGAATACAAAGGATGCCAGGTAAGAATAATAAATAATTGTGTATAAAAAGATAAATGGTACGATAAAAAGTTACCAAATATACTTTAATATTTAAAATTACACAATATAAAAACCATAAACGCGTTTCGCCAGTCCGGCGTTATCAATATGGGGAAAGAACCTGATACCTGGCAGTGGATCCTTTAAATAACTCATACAAACATTCAAAATTGGCGCCAAAATTTGGACAGCCAATCACAATCAAAGTGTGAGTAAATATCATTAAAACAGAAATATTACAATACATGTGAATAGGATTATAATAAATATAATATAAAAAGTAAATATATATATATAAGAAATGAATTGTGTATAACATAAGAACATTATAATGTAGCTCAGTCACATGACCGGCATGGGACAAAGGTATTATGGGGAATGTAGTATGGCGGGGGGATAGCGTTATTTCTCTTGTTAAGTAGCCGCAGACCCTCTTGGAGCATGTATGAAATTAACCATACATAGGGTTGCCTACAACAGTTTAGATGTGTAACCAATTAAAACCGCAAAAGACAATCTACTAAAGAGAAAATGAAATTTATGAAAACAAACTGTTAGTAGCCGTGCGGTTCTCAGCTTAACAAGAGTAGTCTTTTCTTCACTGACTTCAGTTATGGAACCGAGGAAGGCTCCATTGAGGCTCTTGGAACAAATGACACAACAGTTGCAGGGTCTCAAAACTGGATAGTGGTCTGTAGAGATGTGGTAGAGTTAATTTCCGTGAGACCCAACATTGAGAGAAGTGCATGCGCTTCAGCCCCTAAGGTGATTTCACGTACAGTTCAATCGTGGGTAATTATGAGGAATCTTGGTATCCCCACACCTATAGACTACCCATGTGGAACTCATTCGGCTTGTAAATAGGCTTAGAGGTTTGCATAATTAGAGTATGGCCCTTGTCAGGTCATGATAAAAGGACAGTTGCAAGTCCTCAAACTGCATGTGACTTACACAGCCTTCCTAAACACTTCATGTAAAAAGTCATCTAATGTTTACACTTCCTTTATTGCAAATTTTGTTTAATTTAGAGGTTGTTATTTTCTGCTCTGCTAATAGCTTGCTAGGCCTTGCAGAAGCCACTGTATGTAATTAAGGTTTAATTTACAGAGCAGGAAATAAAACAAACTTTTAAAGTAAGTAACATCTGATTAATAATGAAACCATTTTATTTTCATGTAGGTTGTGTCAGTCACAGCCAGGGGAGGTGTGGCTACGGCTGTATAATTAAAAACAAAAGTGATTTAAGTCCTAAACAGATTTGGATTGAACAGTGTAACTTCAGATGAGTAATCTATACACAAAAACTGCTTTATTAAGCTAAAGTTGTTTTGGTGACTATAATGCCCCTTTAATATATAAACTGCCCATCTCTACAGGCTGTATGAATTGGCCAGCAAAAATGGCAAGAGGTTGGAGGCCAGTCTGCTATGTGTGTGGAGTAGCAAGTACTGAAATGCTTAATGTGTAAAGTGTGTCCTTTTTTAAGGTGCAGATTTCAATATAAATTGGCACGTTTCTTTTAACCTTGTTACACACCCTTGGCTGTCAGTTTACCTGCCTCTTGAGTTTAGTTCCACTCAGCTAATTGTCCAGTGCATCTGCCTTGCAAAGATTTATCATAGAGTTGTACTGGGAAGTATGTGATTTGACAGCCACAGAAAGTCTGGTCTGTGAAGGAAAGGGGGATTTGCAAATGCTGCACACGAGATATGCTTCTTTTGCAAGCTGTTTAGATATACCCCAATTTAAAAAATATATATATTTATTTTAATTTGGGAGGGTGATATCTAGTGAGGTTTTTTTTTTCCTTTGGTGGTGGGCCTTTTTTAACTGTTTATCTTAGCCATTGTTTAATTTTTCTTAGACATTGTTTTCTTATAATCAGTTTGCTGTAATTGAGTGGCTAATTGGATACAGTAATTGACACATAATTTGCTAATACTGTGTGTGGCACCACCTGCACTCACCCATTCTCTTTTTAAACACAAAACTTAGAAAAAACATTTATTTAATATTATGTTTTTCATACAAATCAAATGATCTTCTAAAGGTGCCAATATCGCACTTTGATTTAGACGACGGCTAACAAAGCTGTAGCCATCGTCAAGGAGATGATGAGTGAACCGGCGTCAGCGTCATGATGGGAGACGGGCAACTGGCGTCAGCACGCTGGAAGGGTGCGGCTGACGCCAGTAGACATGGAAAAAGACGTCAGCTCGCATAGGCAGGTAAGGAGGGGCGGAGGTAATGATGACGGCAGCACGCACGACGCTGCGGCCATCGTCATCAAAAGGGGCGTGTTATGTAACTAGACAACGGCTAACACAAAGCTGTAGCCGTCATCAAGGAGATGATGAGTGGACATGCCGGCAACGCACAAGAGCTGCGGCTGGCTAAAATGGGGCAAAGCATCATGCCTGGTCCACTGACTAGTGTGAGCAGGCATGGTGACAAAAAAAGCAAATAAAAGGTAAAAAACTATTAAAACTACCTTTCTGTGTTTTATTTAAGGGGTTTTGAGGGATTCCCTTATAGGGTTGCTGCTAATTTGTGTTATCTACCGCTTACTCATTGTTCTGGTTTTATTCTGTTTTAATTCCCTCTCGAGTCAGCTGCTTTTTAATCTCACCATGTCTATTTTCGATTTCAGAAACAACTATATCATTGATGTAGAACATTTTTTTGATACAGAAGCTATTAGTCCCATGCATATCAATTATCCCAAGATAAGTTAAGAGGAATTATTCACAAAATTAGAAAACATTTTAAGTAAAGAGATTAAGCTAAAATGGGAGATAGCTACATTAAAAAAATACATCGATGAACAAATCACTCCCCGAGGCTTACGACTACTCAATCTACCCACCTCAGACCAAGACGATTTAGAATTCATGGAAGAGTGGAATAATAAATTGGAACTCTGCACTTTAGGTCTCATGGAAACCTTAATAATAAAAAAAAGTAAAAAACTGTCAGTTTTAGATGTAGAAATTAATGACATTCGAGACAAACTTTTACCATTTACAGAAACACAGGCTTACAAACAAAATTCCATTCTCATTTAAAGTAAAATCGAAAAGGGTGAAATCGAAACAAAACACATAAAAATAAAAAAATATATTAGAGACAAAACGGATTACTCAAATAAGCAGGTCAGAACTTACTATTTGAATAAGAAATATACCTCCCAATACCCAGTTCAAAAAAATAACCCTTTGAGAACCAATATCTACCGTGAACAAAAACCCTATGAAAACCCAGAGAGGCAATATTCTAAACATCAGTCTCATCAATATCAGAATACAAATAAACCACTACACTCACCACAGAACACGTACACACATAGGGCACCTAGCAACCACACTCGTGGTCCTCCAGAACGGTCTAATCACTAAAACACTCACCAATACCGCCCATTCCCACAACGTAATCGAAATAATTCATATCGTACCCATCACGATACTTCACCAACATATTACAACAGATCAGGATATAAACACTTGTCCCCTAAACCACAAAGATCTAAATATATTAATGACCATAAAGAATATTCTAACTACTCAAAATCACCCATGATTCCGAATCATCCCAATAGATTCCAATTATTGTCATTAGATTCTGAATTCGAAAATGATGATAATTTTTTAGAAATTCGAACCAACCACACCACACTAGCCCAAACACCTCACCACTCACATCCGAAAAAAAGGATTTTAAATTTAGAGGAAGAAGAAGTGGCAGACGTGAACAAAAGAGAAAGACTACAAAGATAATAGTACTAGTAGCGGCATTTTTAACCTTTCACAAAAAATTTTAAGTAGTGCAAAATAGCGGTTTTAACTAAAGATCTTAAGTTTGCCCCCACTAATACTTTTAAATCCTTTGAAGCTTTTATAGATGTTAACAAATTTTTTCGAAAAGCTACTCTCAAAAGATTTTTTATGGAGAAAACTGAACAAAATGTTACTCAAATCCCGCCAACACCCTCTCGGAGCGACAACATAGTTAATACTTCGCTCAGGGAAAAATCAACTTTTTATCCCGCTCAACTTAAATCTGCTCCCCTTACTATGTTTGAAAAATTAGTTACAAAAGATCTAGAAAAAATAATAAATATGACCCCCATAACCTAACACATTTAGAAAAGCTGGCACTAAAAGAACTCCAAAATGATAAAAATATTGTCATTAAACCAGCAGACAAGATAGTCATTCTGTAGTAGATTATTTTCTGCAAACCAATTAGTTTGAATGACTATCTGTTCCTGTCCAAATTAAAGATAATAAAGTTGCGTGCACGCAGAAGTAAATTCACACTGTGTAAAAAATGTACTTTGGAACGGTGATAATGGTGTTAACGTAGAATCTACTTAATTTCTTCTTATCTTCAGTTGATTGATATATATACGTCTTTTGTATATATATTCTTGGGCCAAATGCTCGCCACAATAATATATGTCAATATTATTGAAAAGTAGTAATACGCAATCTGACTTACGGTTTCTTCAGGTTTATTCTTTGTTACGGATACATAATAAAACAATATAGGATGTTACAGGATAATGGACATTCAACAGAAGATGGTAATTGCTGTACTTCTGATGGGAGAGTTACATCGTTGTACAGAGCCAAGCTAAGAGTGAGAGCGACCTCGTGTCCCTCTGTTACTATATAGATGTGCTAATACTAACGTCAGCGTTTACCTCTAGCCATATAAGGACAAGACCCCCGAATCCACATTCCAGAGCTCTCGGACAAAGAAAGCCTTGTGACTTATTGATACCATCTGTTACTTATGTCAATCCACACATCCATATATAATCAATAGAAACATAGAATATGCCATATTCTACACACTGAGACACAGAGTTCAGGTTAATGAAAGAACTTCGGAGAAGTTTAATGGCTTCTAACAGAAAATGGGTGCGCAGACCCTTTTAAAGGCATTTTTACATCACTGAAGAATTCAAGATAACAGCAAATAGACACTATTGATTGGTCCAGGTGTTAAGTGGTTAGTTAGATGCCATCCCATCAAGAGGTAATGTCATCCTTGACACGGGAGTGGACACAAGCACGAGGTGTCCACTCGATGGGAGGGGTGCTTTGGCAGCAATTTTGAGTAGTTAGTATTGTTAGCTTCAAGGTTCTTTTAGTAAATACACATTTTATTATTCAGCTGACACATACTTTATTGAAATCAACATGTCGCTCAGCGGCCACAATGTTTCATTCTTGATGAACACATTGTCCCGCTGACGCACATTTCTTCCTGACAAAGCATTAGCTTAGATAATTTCAAGAATTCTATAATTCTACAACAGTCCCCCCTTAAAATGTTAGTTACTAAAAAATAAACTTTATTTGTTAATACCAGAAGACTTGTTAGCCCAAAGACACATAAACCCCATGGTCGCTAGCTTGGTGTTAGTGCAAAGTGCATGTCTACCCCTATCTGACCCTAACAGGCTGCAGCTCATCTGTCTTAACAAGCATCGAACACTTCACTCCGTGGGTAACCCGCAGCGGCTAGTCCACCACATCTCCGCACGTGAGACTCGCCTGTAGAGACAGATGCTGTCCCTGCGCTGGTTCCCTTCCTAGAACATCTGCACTTTATCAGTATAAGGGAGAGTTTGTAGCGGAATACAGGGTGAGGTGAGATCTTGATCATCGATTGTCAGATGAGTAAGAGTTAGTGTCGCTTGGTCTGTAGTCTTCTGTAAGAATTTTTTAAAGCATGGGAGGACACAACAAACGAGAAGAGCGAGAACAAAAAGGAAAATTAGTAGAGCCATACCAATATGGACTAAAGCTTTCTGCCAACCTGACATCCAACCAAACCACCTTTCCCAGGGATCTGTTACCCCAGAATTCCTTTTCAACTCTTCTGAGAGTTTCTCTAACTTCGCTATGGCCATAGTGACTTTACCATTTGGACCTGTGTTTTCTGGGATATAAGTGCAACAAGTCATGGTGTCAGGTAGTATTTTACATACACCCCCCTTTTCAGCTAGAATCATGTCTAAGGCCATTCTGTTCTGGAAGGTCATCTGGGATG